GATCACTTTGACGTACGGTGCTGATGCGGACCATGTTTTATTCTCCAAAAATATCGTTCAACCTCTTGGCAACTTTCCTCTTCAATTCGTTCTTGAGCGCTTGGGAAGCCCCTCTCTTTATACCTCGCGGCACTTCTGATAACGAACGCTTTTTGACACTGCTTTTAAGGCCTCCTGTTACACCTTTCAAAAAATCTTTAGCCATGTCTTTGACTCCGGCACCTATTTAAAGATCACCCCAGGATCCGATAAAAGGTGGTGGGGCATAAGGTGAGGGAGTCTGCCAGCGCATGAGACCACCATCTCCTTGTTCATTTGGCACATACACTTTAAAACGTCTCAAACTTCCTCCTCTCATGATGCGATCACCACAAACACACAATTCACTTTAAATCTTTTTTATTAATCCAACTGTTATATTTGCTAGGGTACCCTTTCCACTTGACAAACAATTTATCCTTTTGTCTCTTTAATACTTTTTCCACTCGAAAATAAGTCGCTTCATCTACATGTACTACATAAAATGTGCCTTGTAAGGGCGTGTCATCCAATTCTTGCACTTTATAGGTCGTTACCATTCCGGGTACGACTTTACGAACTTGAAACACTTCTTCCGTCCATCCTGGTAGATACCCTTTCTTAAACGGTCTAAATTTTTTATTCAATCGGACTTTATCGCCTACTTTAAATGCAGGCTTTTTTTCTTTCTTAGTCTGATATTTCCCATACAAATTGTTCCACACTTCTTTGGCATTGAATGTGGTGACTTTAGCTGGTGTGGTTTTAATACTCCTGTGATAGGTGCGATTGTATTGATTGACAAGTTTGGGCAATATGTCTACATATTTGAGTGTGTTGGCAGCCGTAAAATAGCGATACAATTTCGATTTAAGGGTTCTATTAAATCGTTCGACGATACTGGCTTTGGCATCTCCATGAGTAGAAAAGTGATGAATATCCTGTGTTTTCATCAATGATTGAAAGGTCTGATTGTAAAATTCTTTGCCTGCATCTGTCTGTAACGTCTGAGGTTTCCTTCCTTTGGCTTCCTTGAGTATTTTTGCAAACGCATCCGTCACATCTTTTCCTGTTTTCTTTTTAATCGGCCGGGCCCACGCGTATTTGGAAAAGGCATCGATCACGACCAATACGTATCGGTATCCCTTGTTCTGTTTGGATAGGGTCTGTACTTCGATCAAATCTGCTACCCACTGTTGATCAATGTCGAACACCACCACAGGTAAAAATTCTCCTCGTCGACGTCTGGGTTTGTGAAGCGTGTACGCCAATTTTTCCTCTAATTCTTTTTTACCTTAAGCAATAGAGATCTTTTGAGCTTTGGCATACGGTGCCACACCACTCAAACTACCGACGACACCGGGTTCGTCATACAAGTCGTCCTTGACATCTTTCTTAATGTTCTTAACCATGATAAATGACACCAAAGTTTGAAAGAATGGTAGATGATCCAATACTTATGAAGGTACTGCGTATACAAATGATTCCACGTCTTATATGTATACTTCCCATCATAGTATCTCATAAACGTCATCAAATGAAAGATACGGTCGTGTAGTGGATGTAGGTGTGGTTTCACGACAAACTTAAACAACTCAACTTCCATGTCTTCGGGAACCCATTGGTAAGGGATTTTATGCGAAGACGATATGTGGGATGCGATCACAAAGCCACGACACCACTCGATAATGCAAGTAGCATAGCCATTGACTCCACGAGGTAAGCATGATGAACTCGTGATTTTTTTTCATCTCCGACCCTTTTTATAATGCTTGACATTATCCATAATGCCTTTTAAAGCCTGTTTTCCCAGAAGTTTACCAAGTGTTCCAAAACCTGGTGCAGGACCCGATAACAACATACTTGCTGCGTAAGCTAATTTATCGGTAAGAGAGGGACCTCTACGAAGAATTTTCTTAACCCTACTCACAGAAGCACCCCCACGTTGATTGCGTTTTCTTCTTTTAATCAGTGACCGTCTTACACGCCTCATGATTGACACAGACAAATGACACAGTGTTTTTGGTGATACAACTTTTATTTATTTATCCATATTATCTTCTAAAAACTGTACATCACAAGCAATACATTCTAAGTCTTTATCCGACAATCCTAAGCGTCTAGCTAATTTCCTAAACTTAGGCATACCGATCAACCAAGCGATTTCAACATGATCGTCCATAGACAATGTATCTAGCTTTGTGTTTCTACCCATCAACCGTGCGATTTCAAGATGGTCTGTACTTATCCCATCTACAAAAAATTAACAAAACTTGGAATTGCAATTAAAAAACATGTGTATTTTTACATCTGGTGAAAGAAAAGTTTGAATGAACACTATGCCTAAAAAATTAATACATTTGACTCTCATTACTTTCTTTAAAGTAAAGGAAAAAGGGCTTCTAATAAATCAGCAAATGTCATCTTGACATCTAGTCCTGAAATGAATCATTCACATCCATCCGTAAGAATTTGCACTGACCTCTTGTTGGGTTTAAATCGCCACCAGGTAAAAAGATCACAGTTATGTCGAATGCATCGCAAATACATTTTGCCATAATTTGTTTCTGATTGAGTCAAAGACAATGTAGGAGTCATTCCACATTCGCACACCATCTTGTCGATTCTGTCCAGGGTGAACCAGGGGTGACCCTGTCTTTGACATTCATAGTAATAACGGTTGTAATCACTGAGATTGCAAAATATTGGGCAACGAGCGGACGAGCAACGTAGGAATACATCGTCACAATCTTCTTTTTTAGATTTCAATACGTCCATCATGCTCTGGTGGATCGGACATGGATAACTGACTTCCACACTGTCCAGTAACTCATCCAAGGAGGAATACTGATACGTACCTGTACCAGAATCCTGTGGAATCTCGCCTTCTTCTAGCACTTCTACCTCGGTCTTCTCTGTCGTCGATTCTGTCTTGATAGTTTCTACCAGTTTGCTCAACTCTTTCAATGGCGGCTTTGACTTGGCAGGCTTTGATTTGGGAGGGATACGGTGTTCTGGTTTCATATAATCCACAGCTATTCGTGGCTCATTCACATCAAACTTGAGTGGTTCTCCTCCAAAATTGCCATGCATCGGTGTATCAGGAACGTTATCTTTACCTCGGAAATCAGGATCATACATAGGCAGCGCATCAATGAAAATAGTACCCTTCAACTTATTCTTGGCTTCTGTTTTCTTCTTATTTTCTTTTTTGACATAAGGATGATTCTTCTTGGTATTTGACGACATCTTGTTCCTTGCTTGCTTGCTTGCTCACCACTCTACGAGAAAGAATAGTGAGTTCCTTAAAAATCTGCTCTACTTTTATACATCTTAGATCTCTTGTTTTTGAATTCTACCTACTCATTGGTTACAAACTGTAGAACTTTGATCCTGCATGATTTAGCAAAATCTTCTCATTGGCTACAACCTGTAAATTTTTTTTTTTAGTTCTCTAGAGATTAAGTCAGCCTCGGACAGCCTTCATTTAATCCCCTCGAGGTTAGGGCAGCCTTGGGCAGCCTTCATGTAATTCCCTAGAGGTTAGGGCAGCCTTGGGCAGCTTCAGGCAGCCCCGAACAGCCATCTTTTTCAGACAAAATCTTACACTGCGCATGCGTAAAGTCTCTGACAGACATCTCACACTGCGCATGCGTAAAGTGTTGTAACATTTCCCACATGGATGGGAAGTGAGGTCTTGACATATATATATATCTCATCATGAAGTCGTGTGTAACATGAACATACAAGTACACGTTACATTCCCCTAAGGGAGGCTGTGAACTAATTTTTACCCCACCTACACCCTCATATTATGAATACATTACACCGCCATCTTGAATGATGTCATCTTCGATGACGTCTCCGACGCCATCTTGAATCCTCCCTAAGGGACTTAGACGCCATCTTGAATCCTCCCTATGGGACTTAGAGGCCATCTTGAATCCTTTGTTATTTATGTTAATTGATGGCGGCATCCCTTTGCTCCCTATGGAGACGCCCTATACTACTTGAATACAACATTACAAATAGGCACTTGTACCATGCATAGTGACATCATTCATCTTCACTTTGATCCATTCAATTTTCCCTTGGAGTAAATGTGAACACACCAATAGATTATTCATCTCGGTACAGTCTCGGTCATTTTTGTTGTCGAACAAAACTGAATTTCTCCAAAAGTACACCGACTCTGGAACTGAAACTACCCACCTGGCTGGTTATAATACTCTAGTTTTTAAATATGTACAAATCTCTGCGGGCCTGCCTCTACTTTTTATAGGGGCAATTCGCGGAAAAAGCTCAAAATCAGATATTACATAATTTGGCGATGTTTACATCTAATGGTCTCAACAACAAATGTTTCAGAAAAATGAAACATGCACGATTTTGGAAGAATGTCATCTTATGAGCAATATCCCGAAGAGAAATCTCGCCTCTGGTTATCGAAATGGCTCGTTATCAGCTGATGTTGCTGGAATTGTACATACAATTCGCAACAACAGGTGGATGTTCGGAAAGATGTCGGAATCACAACCCTATTGATAGACAGAAAGTGTAATCCACAAATTCGTCATTTGTTTACGTAAGGGGAATTTGAACAAAAACAAATTGAACTACTTCGATCTTGTGAGGCAGGTTGAAGCGCTCTGGTTTGTTCGTCTCGGATTGCCATTTTCTCATCCAACGATCATATTCAATTTCGAGAGGTTGTGGACTTGAGAGATCTGACATACACATCTTGGAGACTTCAGCTTTGTCTAAATTTGTGTTCGCTATTAATGGCGCTTAGCACAAGACCAAGCAACTGTACGGCAGTCTTCTGAGTGAAAAAAATTCCCTGTGATGATTAAGCCTGTTTTTTCAATCGTTCATTATATCTATAAATATTTAAGGTTAAATAAATAGTCGAGAGTTTGATAATTTATATAGATTACCGTGAAGATATTTCTTGTGTGATATAGTCAAGGAATGGAATGAACAGATTGCGGCAGCAATATTCTTCAGGTGTGTCATGGGGTGCATTTACCCTACAATGTTGTCTTGACGCCGTTCTTGGAGCACTTGGTTCCTTTCCCACCTCTGAACTGATCTCCACACTAAATTCGTGACTGGCATGCTTACCTTCCTAAAGACGTATAACAAGGCAGTGGACTGAAAAAGCGATTACTTTCCTGTTACTGCCCCCTTTTGGACATAACTCGACCACTTCAAATAGATTAATGACTCCTTTGGGAAAAGTAATTCTCAACTGAGGGGGGCAGTCGTACAACCACTTCTTAACTAGAAAGTATTCTTTAATACTCTAACTCTTACAGTTTCAAGAAAGATTTATTGCAACAATTCTCTCACTTAAACAGTAAATCTTAAGCAACATTATCTACTCAGAATAACTCGTAAAAATATAGTGTTGTTCTGTACATAAATAACTTGTACAAATGATATTGTACAGTAATTTACGCAATAGGGCTCGTGTATCTCGACGTTACAATTACTTATAGATATATAATTATTAACTAATCATAGATTATTGCAAGCTGAAAAGCCCACTGACAAATGAAGACCGGGACCCTAATTTAGTAGTTTCCGAAAATGACCACTTTGGGCACAAGTAGAGTGAATAACGAAGCTGTTATTTTACCAAGTTGACAAATAAAAAAGAAAGCGCTTATATAAAACGAATTTTAGACTAGCACTTTTCTCGAGATCGCAATTTATCTTCTATCGAATACGTACGAAAGACTCTTACTTCATTTTAAATGTTTGTAAGCCTGTGCACGGAATATCTGTGTTCCCGTGTAGCAGGTGTTTTAAGGAAACACACAAAGATATAAATTAAGCCTGACCGGATTCCATCCATAGAGATCTAACATGCCGAAGCCGCGGAACACCTAAAACGGATATGGTGGGAGAACGCCATGGTTTTTTTAGTTTTCTCCACGGAAGGTTTGTATTGGTTTAAAACGACTGTATGCCAATCGTCTACCCGGCGTACTTCTGAAGGGATACTTAGAGGGAGATGAATTTGAAAGAATGTGCGCGCAAAATATTTAACGCCATGAGAAGGTGAATTAAAAGTATATGATTATATTGCAGCTCAGCATTCATTACAGGTGCAATTAGCAGTAATTTCTCCAAACTATAACCTCTATCAAAAACTTAAGCCTAAACTAAGATTTTTGTTGGTATTTCGTGTCTTTCTATTTAGACGGAATACCTCAGCCTTTCAACATTTGCAAAGTTTCATCAAACTATTTGAAATTTCGCGTGTACGTGTCATGACAAGTTTTAGGAGACGTTTTGTTATTGGTCGAATTAATTAATCAGGTGAAATTAAACACTAAGTAGGTGTCTGAATGCATGGCACGCATCATATTCTTCTTGACAGTTTTTCCACTCAGCGCTTAGCTCCACTGATAGTCTTACGGCTCTGACGCAGGTTAAAAATTAACGTCATCGTTCTCTGGCTAAACAAAACGGCGAAAACATTCGGTCGACGGCCGGGAAGTCCAACTTTTCAGCGCTGGATATTTCTAAGACTTCGCAAACGTTGATAATGCGAAAAATTTTCGCGTTTACCTTTGGATGTGAGACCCAAAACTTGTGACTAAGCGACAAATGAAGGGTACAGTTCTTTATTTTTATCTCTGTTGTTGTTATGTGCTCCGTTAGAAGCATAGCTTCACTGCTTCGTGGAAGGAAACAAAGGTAGAGAGTTATACTTTCTTCTCTTCCTTAAAGCTCGGCCAACTTCAATTCAGAATTGCACTAAATAATCTTAGCACAGGGCAGAAATAAATTTCTTATATGTTGCAAGAAATATTATATCAGATTTCTTTAAGGGAAAAGACTACGTACCTTTTGAACATTCCTACCTGTGTTTGACTTTTATTTCAATGCTAACCTTACTCTACCAGCTCTGAAATCCAAATTAACTTGGAATTTTTCCGTAGTTTCTGTTTTTAAAAATTCTAATTGTATCGTTTATAATGTCGCCTGCAATTCAGTCGCACCTAAAAGAAGCAGGAATATTAATAAAACTTCACGCCAGTCAATGATTTGGGACAAGTTGCGAAAATCGATCAATTTTCAGCTGTTCCTAAGAAGGTATTATGTTTTCATTTAGCTTTTGTTCCAGTTTTCTTTGTCAGAGAGATATTGAATATTTGTTACTTTTTAAAGAAAAATTGATGCCAACCAAAGAGCCATATTTACTTCACTTTTTGAAGCGAATTTTCAATCACTTAGGGGTCTATTCTGCGGATATATTTTGCATTTAGTTATTAGAAATAAGTACCTTGTTTTGCTTAATTCAAGAACTCCCTCTTCTTGTGTACAGTTTTTATACTCATCGAGGAAGACAAATCGTCTCAATTCTTGGCTAACAAAGAAATCATTCTCGCTACTCAAGTATCAGGACCGTTATGTACCATTCGGACTCTTTCAATTTCTTCTGTTATTTGGGCGCTTTGGTAATATATGCTCGAAGTTTATGCCATTAATTTTAAAGAACTTCCTGTTACAAAAAGTCAGGGACACTTTCCATCGTTCATCTTGCAAAATCTGGCAAACTATGGTTGCCAAAGTCTTATGTTTCTGAAATCCATTGTCTTATATAAATGTATTTCGTATTCTGTCGGTTTTCATCGTATATTTATTGTTTTGTAACTCACAGATATGCCACAAAAGTAGCAGACAAAGAATCTCTTGAGTTTTTATGGTCAACAAAAAGCAATCCCCTACATAAAGTTTCTTTTGATAATAACGTAGCCTTTTCCTGGTGTTCAGCTAGTAAACCGGAGCGAAATGGTAGCGCAGAGCAAAAGTAGAGGATAATAAGTATACAAAAGTATCTATAGGCATACAAGAGTCTGCGTGAGGATACAACGGTATCTACACATAGGAGTATCGATTAATCCTTTTCACCCAGTATGCATATTCTCCATACTGTTTTCTATAAATTTACTAAGGTGCTTACAAGGAGATTTTGCTTAATAATCAAGAGCTTTTGTACTTGCTGATCATTTCCATTATTATCATAACCTCAATACTTGATTCAGGAGTGATATTGTAAGAAGAAAGTCGATGCTAGTCACTCTCAGAGGTTAGAGGGTTAAATTAATAAAATAACCGGGATATCTTTGAGAACACAAGGGTTTACATTACAATACAAGTGAATCTCTTTATTCATTTCTTTGAATGTCTTTAGTTTGGCATGTTAAACCACAATATTTCTTGTCAAAAGCTTT